TATTTTCTTCGCTTTAGTCCCCACTCCCACCTGCTTGGTTCCTACTGTCCTTGCGCCGTACCTCTTCAGGGCCCACAGGTTCAGAAAACCATCTCTCTCACATACCCCTCCCCTGATCTCCATTCCACAGCACAGTCACTCTCAGAAAAGATTCTCACTGAGATTTGTTCTCAGCATGAATAAAATAGAGAGTAAAAAACCCTAATAAACCCCACAACCACTTCTTGGAAAAACTACAATGCAATGATACCGTTCCCTGTAACCTGCCATCATCACATTTTACTACCAAGAAGTCCCCTGTTGCAGACAGATCAGTGCTGTCATGCTCTCAAATTCAGATCCTAGTGACAGAGAGATTGATGTATGTATCACTTTGCAATTAATTCAACTACTGAATAGTAGTCTACAGCATTTTTTAAAAAACACCATCACTTATTACTTTTACCACAGTGAACCTGGACCTCCCACAGAAAGGACCACTACACCAACCGAATTTCCATACCAATTTCATCTACCACTTCAATCATTTTCTCCAGTTCATCAGGACAGATGTCAGGGCAGTGTGTGAAGCCAAAGTAGATCAGCACCCACTGGCCGATGTAGTCCTTGCTGGTTTTGGGCTGTCCCTCATGGCTGATGAGTGAGAAGGGTCCTCCTAGCAGCGGTTTCCCAATGCCTCGGTTTCGTTCCTTCTCCAGTTCTACAAAAAACAAAGGGGGATCAAACACATCCATGCCACAATCCATGCTGCTCCCCAGGCGAACCTCAGAAGCAGTCGAGACTCAGGCAACCTTGAAGAGTCATGGCCCAGGGCACTGAAACGTCAAGATCTACCAATGCCCACCGTGTCTAACATGGACAAGACTTCCTTAAAGCAAAACATAGAATCGTAGAAGGGTTTGGGTTGGAAGAGACCTTAAAGATCATGCAGTTCCAACCCCCCTGCCATCAGCAGGGACACCTTCCACTAGACCAGGTTGCTCAAAGCCTCATCCAACCTG